ACCGTTATGTCGCGCCGTAACAGGAGAAATTTTAATAGTTGCCAGACCAATAGTGAGTGAGTCGAATTGCCAAAGCAGAATTTTACATTTTATAACTTGGCAGCTTCGCATGAGCATTGTCAGTGCCCAACTCCCGCGAAAAAATACAATATACGCAACTACAACAACATTTAAGTAACATTCGGTATATGCAGATTGGCACGTTCTTCGTGCGCTCGCCAGGAACCATTTGAAGCTACCTTCGGCCGTTAGTTTTCGCTGACGCACTCACTGGGAAAATAGAAGTCTTAGATGACATACACTGCAATTTGATCTCTTTAATTTGCTTTTCCAGTCTTTTTCCTTTTCATTTGGGCGTCTGTCTATATAACTAACCTTAAAAACTCGAGGAAGGGTTTATTTTGTGACTTATTTACGTATATTATCAGTTCACTAATTATGAAAAAAATGGGTGGACCTTCATTAATACAATACAATAGAAAGCAAATTTTATATAAAATTGTAGAAAAGCGCCTTTTTTGAAACTTTATAAATTATAAAAGAACCATAGTGGGTAGCACCTTGTTAACAAAAAACAGAATTTAAACAAGCAAACTTTAAAAATTGTTCATAACGATTCGAAATTTTAAAAATTGTTCATAACGTTGCAAAATTTAAAGGTAAAATATAGCAGTTTAAGAAGAAAATTCATTTATTCGCTACCTTCGCATTGAGAAGGTGCCCATTAATCTGAAGGGATAAATGTTTATAAGAGTATTCTGAATTGAACGAATTCCTGATGACCATTTGTTATTGAAGGTTTCTGATAGCAAAATTGTATTTTGCGCGTGTCCAGTCTTACATGGCTTATTTATTTTCTCACCATATTTCCGTTACTCCGTTAGAACAATTATTGTGCACCGTTCAACTGCGACCATTAATAATATTTATTATTTTAATGTGCACAGGATTTTGCATATCATAAGAATATTTTCCAGGTAAATAAATTCTATGTAACTCTGCTCGTAGCACTCAGCAGTATTTTATAATTAAATTAAATTATAATCCAATAAGAATAATGTTGATTTTAAATTAAGAGTCGATGTTATTTCTTTTCAAATTTATTTTCTTGTTATTTTCACCCTTTACATTATCTCTTTTCTGTAAATTTACATGGGGCAAAATAAATTGATATAATGAACGTAATGAATTCCCGTTATTTGTTAACACATTTTTGTATAATATTCCAATACAATTAATAAACACAGTGTGCATTTCTTGGTAATATTACGTGACATTTCAATTAAAAATGATGTTCAGCATCTTACGTGCTTCTAGTCAAAGCAAATAGACGTGTTATTAACGGGATACAACTTTTAAAACACTTAATAACAATCCATGCCAGTTTCTTCTGTTTTGAAGTTTCATGTGAAAACTGAAACCGAATCGCATGTCGGCACTTTTACAAGCACACAGATATAATAATATGAATGTATGCACGAAATATATTGTATACATTGCCGAACAATCGCGAATCGTATTCACATTTCTTGCCCTATTTTACTAATAATAATGAACGCAATGAGTTGCCAGCCGTTTCAAAGGAAACGACGTTCAAATGTTTTAAATTAATACCAGAAAAAGAAAAAAAGAAAGATGAAGAAATAAAATGGAACCGGCTCATTGGAATCTCGTTCAAAACGCGACCGCTCGTGGCGCTGCAGGTGGCGGCACGTGATCGCGACGGGTTCCAGGGAAGACGAAGTGAAGCGGCGTCCTCGCTCGGCGCGGGTCGTTCAAAGACGAGCGAGGGCGAGGACGACGGCGGCGAGGGCGGCGAGGACGTGGGCGCGCGCGCGCGGGAGGCGGCCGACGCCCGACGGCTCGCCGTCGCCCAGGGCGGTGCCGGCGGCGTCGCCGGGCTCCCGCAGCGACCCCTGGTAGCCGTTGTAGAGGTGCTGGCCCGCGGCGTCCTCCCCCTCCTCGCCCGCCGGCACCGCCTCGTTGTCCAGGTCGTCGCGGTCCAGCACGCTGCCCTTGCGGTTCGCCAGCTCCATCTCTGCGGTCACATTGAAATATACGTCCTTACAAACAATTGTGTTTTTCATTTTTATATATGTGTTAATGACTCTACCTATTGTATATCTTGTTTAATACATTTGTATTCTTTATCATACATTCAACATATTATTTTTATTATTTAAATTATTTTTATTATCAGATATATTTTCTTATTGCAAAAATGTTTATAAATCCGTTTTCAAAATCACAACACATTTCATCATGAGTGCACGTAGTGTTTTTATGTTGAATAACTTATCAATTACGTTTGACTAATAGTTTACTAGTATAATAATAATAATAATAATAATAATAATAATAATAATAATAATAATAATAATAATAATAATCAGTGAGGAAGCTCGAAATACCGAATCTTTCTTATCTTCGTTTGATTACACAACAAAAACTCTTTTATAAAAAAGTGAATAAAATCATATAAATATCTACATTTGAAGAATACGTTAAACTGAGAAAGAAGTCTGGCTATAGTAATGACGGTATACTTGAATTTTTGTAATAATCAACATTTCAGAAGGCTAAATGATAACAGCATTACATCATATTTATAAATACACTTTTCTCGACTACAAAAAAGTCAGGAAACATTCATGTAACGTAACCTTTAAATCAAAATACCTGGATGATTTCAGGAAATGCACAACTATGTCGATCTAAATACTGATTTACTTACCAAGTTTCAGCTAAAAATATTTTTATCTGATAGCGTTATTCCAAATACATTCGCCCGTCCGTCACCCGTCCATCCGTCCGTCCATCCGCCCCTCCGTTCGTCTTTTCAAGGCTCCAAGGAATAGGCCGCCATTAGACATTGGCTATTCACGTGTTACGTTATCGTAGAACAACTTTGTGTAAAGAACTGTTGTACTGTGTATCCGTGTGTTACACGAGAGTATTTTATTTGTTGTTATTGAGTAGTGTACGAATTAATTTTTAGTAAACCATTTTATGGGGTGCTATTCAGAAACATTTTTGCTGTTGGTAATTACTAGTTTACCAATATATTCATATTTCAATTTTTTACATCACTGAGTCAATACGCAACCCGCGTGTCATCTAAGTAGAGCGGAGCAGTATCATTAATTTAAATTAATATTGAAATATCTAATCAGAAGAGTCAGAAAGTATGGCAAAGTGTTTTTTTATTATCATTGATTTGAAGAATTTTGAAAAAGGAATGGCCAAATTGTACTTCTGAAGTTGATACAGAGTATCATTATGTCGTTTTTACTGATTATAGCTTCTGATGTCTATTTTTGGAATTTGCCCATATGTTGACAATTTTCTTCCTTTTTGAATGCGCATTATATGCACGTCTGCAAAATACCACGGCAATGTATTGGTTTCCTTTCGAAGCAAGCCGAGTCACGATATCAATAAAAGTGTTGAATTCGAGCTCCGGGTTTAGGAAGTATTAAATATCGATACGAGAAAGCTAGATTGTACAACGAAAGATTCTTTATTTTCTTTCCTTAATACTTAAATCTTTATTCGTCCACAAAAAATTACATCCCACTCCTTTGTATAATATCCGAAGTATTTTGAGTATACATAACAGACTCTGTACATGATTGTCATGTCAAGACTACGCTCAATGCTGAAGATTGCAGAAGTTCGATGAACAAGCAATATGACAATGATTTTATTAATACCATTAGAAAATTGAAAGGAGAATAGTTTAGTCTGCACATTTAGTAGAGAAATCATCATAAGCGAAATAAAATTCGTACTCACTAGTCATCATGATAAAATTTGAAATGATAAAATTTAGTGACCCAATAATAATAAATTTCAGAGGTGAAACTAAAAAATGTTCTTATGAAACAGACAAAGAAATTCAGAAATATCTGGTGATTTCATTAAATAAGAATCACAAGAAGGATACATTTTTATCTTATTGCTCGTAGAAAGTTGTTTTTCAAATGTGGCAATTAAAAATGTTCAACTACAGTCAATTATTTAAAAAATGTACTAAAAATTTGAGTTTTAGTGTATCTACTCTACTTAATACAAATATACACAGTAAACCCTCGTTAGCATGAACTCAGCTAAAACGAAATTCCGGTGAAATTCATAAAACACACAAGACTTCGTTCCCACGAATTTTTATAACTAGAACACCGATTATTTCAGTTCCATGTAATTCGTGCTATCGAGGATTTATTGAACTTGCTATTGCTTAAAGATTTGGAGTCCATTTCACATTGACATTCTTATGCGAAAGGACTTCAGTATTTCCAGCTTAATTCTCTCCAACACTCCCCTGCACATCCCGATAACGCATGTTCCGTCTTTTCTCCTACCCCTTTGATCACATTCCGAGTTTTAAAACAATTTTACAATATGGGACGAAGTGCTTGTTCGAGAATACTGAAAAGAAATAAAGATGAAAGTTCTCGCGAGCTACAAAACTGAGAATCGAGTGAAATTGGTATTCTCGAAATGGCTCGTGGATCTTAAGTAAAGCCGTGTTATTCTCCAAACTTCCTGGGGAGGAGGACCGGAGAAGTTTTCTACGGGGGCCGTGCTTTACGTATCGAGGCTTGTTCCGCCCTTCTTCGGAAGTCGCTTTTCACGGCGTCCGCCCTCCCCGTTCCCGCCCCCTCCCCTCCCTCCTTCCCCGCCCGGCCCACCCCGGCCCGCCCCGCCTCGCCTCGCTCCGCCTGCCCGCCCCGCCCAAGCCCCGCCTCACCCGCCTCGCTTCCGCCCCGCCCCTCCCTGCCCCGCCTGGCCTCCATCCCTCTCACCATCCTGCCGCAGCCCTCGCCAAGCTGATTCCCAAAGCCGCCTAGGGGCGAGTCAATGGTATACTTTCTCCACGAGAGGCCCGCGAGGGCCGTGCCGTCGCCAGTGGAACAAGTGCTTTGTCATTGTCCTACAACAGGTAGAGGCAACTCCCTCCGGCAGCAATTTGCGCGAAGTCAGTTGGAAAAATGCAGTTATAGTGCTCGTTGAAACTCTGTTAAAACTCTGTCGCGCCAGCAATTTCCTCTACAGGGAAAATCTTTTTAAAAATGTAGAGGGGAGAACATTTTTATTTATAACTGTTTTTGACGAGACCTATTCATGAATATATGCAAATATTTTTGTATCGTTTTTCTGTTCAGTAAGTACATATTACTTGTGTAAAATAGAAATAGACATGAATGAAGACTTGAAAATGGAATTTAAGTTTAATCAAAATCGATGTACAGAAATTTGGAGGCGTATTCTCCTTTGTGAAGTCATAACTTGGGCTTCGATGAAATTTTTGTGTAAACAAACATTTTTAATTTCCGAGAGAAAGTTAAAATTGCTATAATAATTCTGAAATGAACTTCCTAATTTTCCTATTTTACCTTTTCTTCTTATCCGGAACTACTTTACGGTTTTCCCGACCCCTTTGAAGACTACTTTTTATCGGTGCCAGAGAGACCTGACAGGGTTTTCCGCGGTCACAGTTGCTTCACTGAGAATTCTTCCATGTAAGAATCCCCATTGCGCTCTCCAAACATCACGCAGACCTTAAGCCCATTTCGCTCCTGTACCTGTACCTTTACATTTGCATCCGAGGAATCCTATCTTACTATTGCGTCCGAGAGCCCATCTCGGTACTTGAGTCACTCAAGTGGGTGAAAGAGGTCATTTCCTCATTCACGCTCTCAAAGATCAGTCAGACATTTGCGATTCAGGGCAAGGTATTAGAATGCAGGAAATAGTGGGAGAACACGAAACGGTACAAACATCAGAGGGATCAGGGAGGGTGTTCGACCCTCGTATAAAATCAAAATATTGAATGAGATGTACGCCGTATCCTACCAGTAACTCACGCGGTCACAGTTGCTTCACTGAGAACTCTTTCCAGTGAGGATCCCCACTGCGCTGTCCAAACATCACGCAGACCTTACGCCCATCCCGCAGCTGTACCTTTACATTTGCACTCGAGGCAACCCGTGGGCCTATCTTGGTACTTGTACAATTCGCTAACATCAGAAAAACAATTAGTCCAATTTTTATATACTTTTTTATTGGAGGAGATGGTTTAATTAATTAATTAGTTAATTTACAACAAAACAGTTAAAAAACTGCATGTGACGTGCTGTCGAGAACCGTTAATTTGAAGTTACATTTATGTCCTGAACAAGGGGCCATTTCGGCATTTTCTCGAGGATGAGGGAAACTGGACGAAAACCACATCGAGAAGGGGGTCATTGATCCAGAAGCTAAAGTACAATACTTGTTACAGGTTCTTTAGAATTATACAATCCAAATGGTGTATACCACATTAAATGTCATTGTTAAAATTAATATCACTTTCCTTTGGATGCTCGGTACAGTTTCTAACTGTATAGAAACAGTTGTGCAGCAGAAAGATTTTACTTGGGGCTTAAACTTTTGCATCCAATTCAATCATTTAATGTCATCTAGCAAGGTGTTGTAATGAGCTGTTGTTACTGTCACCTGATGAATATGAATACTATGGCGAGTGTTGTAGTTATAGACAACGACGTTTGTTACAAATTTATTCCCGCCCTTAAATAAGTCATTTTTCACAACGAATGGTGTTTGGTTGTGAGTAGATCTTGTGTACACTAGAAAGGAAACTTTGCCACTCGCTAGCCTAGGTGTGTGCCTTCATAAGCAAAAATACATCGTAAATATAACATTTTTTTAAAACGGGTTTCATACGTTTTTTTTTGTCTGTAAAATTAGAAAAATTAGCGGGCTAATTGACGTTCTGCTGTTAGCTATTCGGTATAAGAACTGCTCTTTTACGTTCACGGTCAAACCGTACACAAATTACTCTCCCAATTATGTCTGGATAAGTGATTAAAACAGGTTGGGTGTTAATGTAGGTCATACACGAGGAACTGGGAATGGACACCATGTCACAACCCAAATGAGGGATCGGGAACGGTTATCGACTCAGGTGTAACGAATACTAGCCTCACACGCCAGCTCCTTCACCACCCAGGCTGACCGGGAATGATAAGACATGATAGGAGAAGGGTGGGAAAGTCAATCATTACAACCTGCAGCAATACTCGTCGAAATCGCTACATAACACACTCCTTAGCAATCTCGACAGTCCGGGGCGGAATCATAAAGAGCATATTATTCGGGCAACTTTTCTTGAACGATGGATTGACGATTTCCGGTAAAGTGGGGGTATTAGTTACAAAGTCGGCCACTGGAGTATTTTAAGTAATGCCAACGTCTGTGAAATGAAATATATGCTATGATATGTCCCCTTAACTTTTTCGGGAGTTTTAGGTGTCTCCCTTGAAGGACCTGGACCCGACTCAGCCATTTCTTTCGATATTGACAATAAACCTGAACAGGGGTTCTGCACTATCAAAGCAACTGGCTTTGACTAGCTTCTGTTTCGCGCCAACGAAGTTTCAATACTTGCAAGGTTGTCATCAGCGCCCACTGCGAGCTTTTGCCTTCAACTGTTTATTGATCAAGGTCATCATTCAAGAAAAGTTGCGCGTGTAATACTAAGCCTGCACTGACCATAGAGTCGAACATTTCCCTCGGCGTCGCCGATAGAGTTTTTCGAGATGCACTTGTATCCCCCGAAGTCCTCCTTCCGGAACTTCCGGATGGTGAGGCGCATGAGTACGCTGTAGTAGCTGTTGCTCACCTCGCTCATGTTGTATTTGTCATTGCCGATGATCATCTCACCTGAAACATGTAGAGAAAGAGGATTGGGTAATGTCAGTAACAGAAATAATGCGCAAAGGTATTGCTCGTTTTCGCTGTTAGATTTTGTTTGGATGACTAAGAATTATTATGGTCTTTCACGTGTCTTGCCTACAGGATTAATTTAGTGATTAGTATCTTTAAACCTACTTCCCAATCTATGTTGTCCCAGTCTAGGCTTCCCAGTCTATGATGGCGCTAGACAGGAATTTTGAAATTCATAAATAAACATCTGATTTCCTCTTCCACTATTCGTTTCTAGTACGATAAATACCGAGTTTAATGTTAAAGAAAAATAAACTTTATCAAGTTTATCATAAAAGAAATCTTGATGTCAACAATATTAATTATTAGTACAACTTTAACATTAAGTTCATGATAAACATTTCTTTGAAAATAATGTTACAAGAAAATTTATTTACGCTATATTTCTTCAATAAATCAGTTTCAGATCAATAGAGACCATACAGGGCATCTGAGTTTGAATAAAACCGACACTATATTTATTTTATGGCTGACTCTTGATTTTAGAGAAATTGTTGTCCTTTGAAATGTTTTTATATCGAGTAAATTTTTCCAAATTTATTAGAATCACATTATTAACATACATTTCCAATTCAAGCGACATAATTAGGAGAAATCGTCAAATAAAAATTCAATAACGACATAATCAGGTGAGAGTATATGCGAAGGTCAGTATTCTCATTCAACGCATATTAATGTGAAGAAACATGATTCACAAATCATTTACGCTATTGCTGCTCACTTAAAGTTCGACGTAAAACAAAATACCAATTTTCAAGAAATTTTAAGCCATCTTTACAATAAGATTAACTGAATAAATTGTAAAAGATAATTATTTTTTCTTTTATTTCGTAGACTAGATCTTTTCTGGCCTGCTCATGGAAGATACATTTACGATAATTATCATGTCATCGTCGATTTATGTATTGGAAAAGCTATTTTTACCATCGCCCAGTTTACACACGCGTAATTAACCTTAACGGTACACAAATAAAAATATTTCACGCTAATATCCCTACTGGAGGCGTGATTCATACCCTCAAGCCTTTCAGAAACCCGGATCCAAGACATATGTTTTGTTATGATCGACTTACGTATTTGCGGTATGTGTTAAGATAATATTTTAATAATTATTTTTGAAAAGAGAGTTCTATGTACGAAATCTCGAGTGATAGGAAAGTTGAAAATAAAATTGCGAAAATTGAGTTTCGAGTCGGTAAAGCTAATATCAATCATTAATTTGTGGTAAGAAAATTAATAATAATTTTCAAAATGAAAATTTTAATGAATATTTTATGGTAGGGAGATCGTGAGGTAATGCATCATGATACACTAAGCGTAATGTCTATCTTATACTTAAAAATAATATTGGATTTTCAACTATCCTCACACTGTCATTGAAATTTTATTCCTAGATTTTGAGTCCAGATTTATTTTAGACGACATTTTAGACAACCACTTCCTCGGAGGGGAGTAAAGGTTTCCATTACTGATGTAGGAACTGTATCTTACATAGAGTAGAAAAAGATTTCAAAAAATGACAATTTATTTAAGACTCCCCAAGAAGTGAAAAAATAGTCCTTGTCCGTGAGATGTAAAAATATTCAAAGTTAAGATACCATTTTAATGAAATTCTACAATATAAATTATGGTTTCACATTTTATGTGGTACTCTACAATCTGGTCATGCATTTTTGGTTTCAATATGTTTAATGAAAAATCTCTACCTAAAATAAATATGGCCAAAAAATCTAAATATATTGGATTTTATTTTGAAAGTTTTAAATGGGAGAATAAATGAAAGAATTTGAATATTATCTCTAGTAAAGTTAATTACATATTATTATTTGAAGCAGATAAAAATACAAACAAGAAGGGGAGGGGAGGCGACTACCGCGCTGCCAGTGTGTTGATGACGTAAGCGCATTCAATCGCTGCCTGGGGCGCCAGATAGCTTTTTCAATTTCCTCGTCGACACATCGCGAGCAGATGCGCTGTTGCCGTTCCTGGCAAAACATGTGGTTGTGTCTGGAGACCTCACTCTCAGTAACTCTTACCCAGACTCCGCATTTTTGTTGATCCAAGACTGCATTACTGTTTCTGAAGTAAAATCTTTTTAAGTAGATAACCGTCCATTACGTTTAGTGTGCGCCTTTAAATGGAAAAACTGCTAGGGATGATAAACTGAATAGTAAATTTTGCTTCTAAAAATAGCCAAAATATATTTTTAAAACTGTTTAAAGGTTTGGATTGCGACGTTGATGAACTATTGCAAAGTGGTGGCGCGTTTGTCGGGATATTTGGAATATACACTCTAGATGGCACCTAGTATGGTTTGCTGTAAATTGTTCGAACGAATTGGTTGTACAAGTTTTACCAATGTATCAGAAATTAAATTAGACTCATGACATTCTGAACAATTTGTTGGAACAAAAATTATGTATTGAAATGCTGGTGTGTACACAATGGAAGACCGTGTATACATTTAAATTATTATTATTATTATTATTATTATTATTATTATTATTATTATTATTATTATTATTATTATTATTATTATTGTTGTTGTTATTATTATTATTATTGTTATTATTATTATTATCTGTCAATAATTCAGGAAACGAATTTCTAAAGACATACATGATCGAGGTGAAAGAAAATTAAAATCCGTCGTAATTAGTGTATACTGTACTACTGCAATCTCCAGCAAATGGAGTAGTAAGTCACAAAAAGAACAACTTAATGAAATAATCTTTTGCTAAGAAGAAAATGTATTCAAAGTATTGTAGCTGAAAGATATAATTAACGTCAAAGAGGAAATTCAGGTAAATATAAGGATGGCTGGATCGCAAAACTAACATATTATGGATCTACCAAGGGCATATTAGACTAATATTGCTGTCATTCATAATATGCATATGCATTTTTCTAAAACATACTTATCCAAAAAAGAAACAACGTTAATAACTGAAAAAAAAATCCTTTTACATCAACATTTGAAGACGCCGTGCTAACCTTTTATTATATCTCGTGTACGATACATATATTTTGCAGAATGTATGTCGTAATCACTAATAACTGACATTATGTCATTGAACACCTGGAGTATCGAATTCGTCTATAAGGGAACAACATTTCTGGTATTTGCTTTTGCCTTAAAATGGTATGCAATTAGATGTCTTGTGAACGTATATTCTTTTTACTAAATTATCTAAATATGTTTTCAAGCTTCGATTACAGATGTGGTGTTTTGTCACACCTTTTTGAAATCAGATCGAAGAGATGCAATTTAGAAAATTGCTTCTCGGTTAGAGTCCGCCTTCAGGCCGGAGCCAGCTCTACACATTAACCTGACTTTTACAGCCCACGCTCTCTCTAAGCGCATCGACGGGGATTTCCGAGAGAGAACAGCATTCCTTCGAAAGAACACTCTGGGCAAGTGGTGTTGCGCGCGTTGTTGCGTTTGCGTTGGCGTCGGTGGGTACGATGTCGACGCAGTCATGAGCGCACGCAGGTGGTGGCAAAGGCGGAGCGGAGAGGCCGAAGGCGGGACGGTGGCAGTGGAGCGGCAATCATGCGGTTGCGATAGAGATTGCGGTAGAGATGGAGATAGAGATGGGAGTGGTAGTGATGGCGCGGAGGTGGTCGCGGAGATGGAGGCGGTATCGCGGAGGTGCGTGACGGGGTGGCGGTCGTGGTACGGTTGCGTGGAGACGTTGGGTGGAAGTAACTGGAGGTGATGGTGTCGCGGTGAGTGGCGCTGGTGGCGGTAACGGTGTCCGGTGCAGGTGGCAGGTGTCGCGTGTCGGCGGTCCGGCGGACTTTGGTCGGCGGTGTCGGCGGTGCGGCGGTGTCGGCGGTCGTCGCGGCGGCGGCGGTGGCGGAGATGTGGCCGATGGTAGAGATAGCGGTGGCGGTTGTGGTGATGGGGGCAGAGGATGGTGAAGGTGGCGGTGGCTCGGTGGCGGTGGCGTGTGGCCGGTGGCGCGGCGGCGGTGGCGGCGGCGGCGCGGCGGCGGCGGGCGGCGGCGGTGGCGGATGGGTGGCCGGTGGCCGGTGGCAGTGCGGTGGCGGTGGCAGTGCGTGGTGGTGGTGGTGGGGGGGCGGCAGAGGATGGTGATGGCATGGAAGGCGGTAGTTGGCGGCCTACTGTAATGGTGCCGGCCGCTCTTCGCCGATGAGCCCACTTACCTCGTCAAAAGTGATTTGTGGCTGCGTGGGTGAGAAACGTTGAAGCGGTTGAAAGTGTCGGTGATCTGGATCCAAAATGACGTATGGGTCACGGAAATCCGAATCAGACGAAAAGAGAATTGTTGAAGTAGTTCCTTTGGAATCAGGAAGAAAGTTCCGAGAATCACCTTGCCTCAACACTCTCAATTGGAATAATCAGATATTTATCGAAATGCTGTTATCATTCGACTACTTTTAAATATAAAAAGTGATAAAGCTGAGCTTACTAATGCAAATGCTTTTATAATTTTTATAATGAAATAGAGTAAAAGAGTGACAATGAATGAAATAGAATGGCACATAGTATTGGTTAACAGTAGAATCAGGCGAGGTTTGTAAACAAAAATAAAGAAAATGAGTAGAGGTTAATAGACTTAGTCGGTGAGAGCGTTCTGGGGGTTAGAGAAGAAATCAAATATTGCTTTTCATGATTCATTATTTTCATTTAGTAAACTGCGAATTGACAGATTGTTCATAACTATTCTTTGTTTAAATAAAATATAAACTTCGTTTTTGGATCAGTGTACCATTCGTTTATTTTTCTATGCACAACAGTGAATGAATGATGAATGAAATAAACGATGATGGAAGTCTAAGAGAATGACGAGTTGATGAAATGAGATGACCATTCGAAATAATTATGGATACCAATTTCTGTTCAAAATAAATTTCACATAAATGGCCGAGACATGAATCTAGAATTGCAGATTTTGATAATAAACTTCTGGTTTTTGAAATTGTTCAAAGTATAATATAAAATAGGAACACGGTGTCATAGTTTACGCTCAGTAGTTTTCATCACTAACTATGAACTCCAGATTCGACGAAGTCTAATACTGTGAAGTATTTTAAGTAATATATACTATTGTTCCACAGTAAGAGGATCAAATAATTAGTGGCATTTACTGACTGTTCCGACGTAATTAGAATATAAAAAAAGTGGCCTACTGGTGATACATTAAGCGACCGATGTTGTCGACGACTAAAGTAGTCAGAGGTCACAACGTGTTGGTTGTCAGAAAAATTCTGAATACTAGGTAATATTTCAGGGGCAGATCCAGAGACAATTTTTGGGAGGGAAAATTAAAAATGTTTTGGTCGAAAGTGTCATATTACAGATTTTGTAAAATGTCCCAGGCTACACTCGGCTCATGCTGCGCTACGATTTTATTCGTTTAAATGATTATCCGAAAATATTTTTGTTAGAAAGTTTCGTGACAAGTTTGGGGGGGAGGGGGGAGATTTCCCTAATTTCCCTCCCTGTGGATCCGCGCCTGCATATTTCATATGTTTCTTCCAAAGTTGACATTTATCTGGACGTAATGTGCAAATGATCGTAATGTGCTACGTAATGTGTACATAATGTACGTAATGTGCTACGTACAGATTAATAATAAATGTACCCGTAACAATTCTCTTTAACTCCAATACGAATATTTATTACAAAGCCATGACGAAAATCAATACTTCAAGTAGACGAAAGCATTTTGGATTTTACATTAGACTACTTTGCATAATTGACTTGTTTACTCTGGCAGCCAAATACCATACGAAGCGACGTAAATCCGAGAAAGAATGGTTTGTGCAGATGTATTTTTTTGGATGAATGTCAACCAACTTTTGAAGCTGTCTCAGCATATTTATGTACTGCAGTTTGCACTAATAATTAATTTACAACGATTTCATTGCCAGTCATCTCAAAATAAACTTAGCGCTCGGGCCGTGTGTTTGCAATTGAATTTGACAATGTGAATATATTTGGTTCCCTTATTGTTAAAGCCACACTGATTATGGCGTTTTCCTCCATACGTATTTCCATAAATGGTGTGTAAGTGTGCTCTTTTATAACATATGTACGGAGTCAGTTGAATCCTCCAACCATTGCGTCCTATTTATCTACTCGAAAGAGACAAGAAATGACGTGAGGAGATGAAGAACAATCGCAGGCGTCAAGGAAATGCAAGAGTTGTTAAGAGACCCGGTACAAGTGGGCGCTTTGAGGGCTTGCCGGATCAGAGTGGAGGGCAGAGTGTGGGGTGGCGGCGGTGCTCCGTGTTGGCTGGTGGGCGAGTGGGCGGAGGCGTCAATGGCTCGCCAAGCGGAGCGCGTAACGACGCGGCTGGCCAAGTGGAACGGGGCGGCGCTGAGCGACGGAACGACCAGAGGTTGATGATCGGAGACTGTCAGCGGGCAAAGGCAAGGGCGAGGCCGAGGGACGAGGGCGGAGGGCGAGGGCGAGGCAGAGGGCGAGGCGAGGGCGAGGGCGAGGGCGCTAGTAGTGCTGACGAGGGCGATGGAGAGAGAGGAGGAAGGGGGAGAGAGAGGGAGAGAGGAGGGATTGCGGTTGAGGCGTTTGGGGAAAGGTAAAGCGCCAAAGCGGTGGGCGGGGCGGTGGGAAGGGAGCGGTGGCGGGTGTCAAGGCGGGTGCCGTTGGGCTTGAGGAGCTGGCAGCGAGACTGTGAGAAAATAAACAGCAACGGTGACGGAAGTTGAAAGGGTGAGGCATCAGCAGCAACGGGGCCGGCCAGTACAGTTTTGAGGGGAGGATAGAGTGAGAGAAGCTCGGGAGGGGGAGGAGGAGGAGGCCATCGCATTAGCCGCTCGCCAAACGAATTCGGAAAACCACTTTGCGGCTCTTCCGCAGCCGCCTGCCGCCGCCTGCCGCCGCCGCGGCGCCCCGGTGGCGTGGCGCCGCCGAGCCCTCGCGCCCGCGATCGAAAGGCCCCCGGCCGCGAGAGCGGCTGCCTGCTGCTGCCACAGGACGGATTGCGGGAGGGGGGGGGAGTGAAGGCGAGGAAGTGTGTGGAAGGCTTTGGCTCCGTCCATCGTGGTGCAGCCACCGTTCACCTTTCAACCCTGGGTATCGCGGTGCAAGTCCCATGCGGAATCTGTTGGTCCAACCTGCGACGGATAAAGTGGTTTGACGGAGTGTTTCCCGTTTTTTGTACCTCATTCGCCGATCCGGGGGGCCGAGATCGCTCAGGCAGTAGTGTCGTGGCGATCTCTGATGGAAGGATCGCGGGCTCGAATTCATTACCGGGCTTGGATGTCTTTGTGAACGTACTTTCACCCGTCATCATCATCCTATTACTTCATTAAAGAAATATTAATAATTCCCTGTTCAAGCAGGAGGCCCTTGCCCTTAATGGGATTGTCAGTTGGCTAATAAAAAAGTTATATCCCTTCATTATTACTCAAAATCACTCAATATTACTCAATATTATTTATCAACATTACCCATAATCCGTGCATTAGTCATTTATCTCACCTATGACCTAGAAGGAGTAGATACTGAGGATCATTATATATCCGTTCGATACATCGTGGAGTTTATTTTATGATATAACTGCTGATAGATTTATGATAGAACTGATGATTTATATAGAGCCTCTGATTTATATTAGAACTACTTTCATTATAAAATGCTGATTTATTTTATAATAGAATATTCATTTAGACATACAATATTATATAATAGAACTGTTTAACAATAGAAGATGCTTTCATTTTAAGGAATGTAGAATATTTTGTATTTACAAGCACTTAATTACCCACGACCATAGCTATCATAAAATTAAGAGAAACACAAACTTCTAAATTCAAAACACATTTTGCAATTATTGAAAATAATTTAGCAACAGCAATTCTCATTGAATTTTTGGTGTATTATTCTTATTAAATGTTGGAGATTAACTTCGGCTCCAGATATTATATCTCTCGTGCTATCCTCGAATAAATTTATACTAGTTACTCAATTTTAGTAATACTACGTATGACTCTGTCTGCAGCAGTTTGCAAAATAAAAATTAGACAACCCCCGCCCCTTAACCGTGTAATCCCAGGCAGCGTTCCGGAACGATGAGCACACGACGAGGGAGATGTGGGGAGAGGGAGGGGTAGGGGAAGGGAGTAGAGGGGAGGCAGCGTACGAGCTAAGAGGGTTCTATTTCAATTTCACATAGTGGGACGACAAGAGGTTATTCATTTTCGAGAACACCTACGAACAACTTTTCACGGCAACTTTGAAGAGCTCCTTTTACGTTACGATATTTTTTTCCAATTTCCCAACATTCCCTCGCAGAAAAAAAAGTGAACTGCTGAGGCTATAATCTAACTTGCGAAAGACGATCCGATCCCTCAAGTCGACACGTCGCGACAAGGAAAGCTACCTCCTCGGGCCCAACTCGGAGGTTCGCCGTCCGATAAAGATTACACCCGTTTTCCATCCAATTGACATCATAAATTAAGTTAAACGATGCAAATCCTGGATCCGAGACCCGCAATATCCGCTTCCGGAGAACCGCTCCGCCCAGATTCCCGCCCCCCTCCTCTTCCCCTCCTGTCCCCAGCCCCCTCTCTTTTCTGCCCCTCTCCCCGCTCCGCCCGGCCTCGTCGCGATGCGCTGAGCTGCGCTTCTCGGCTCTGCTCTGCGCTCCCCATGCGGGAGCTACCTCGCTGAAATGCTTGCACCCACTCTCAGTGATGTCAACTGTTTGCTGCTTGCAATTGTATTGCTAATTCACGAATTAGATGTGAATTGAACATAAAGGAATTGTGAAGAAAATATGTTTTAAAAGTAAGACAAAATTCTATAGACATGTGATAAGAATCCGAGATTACAGACTTCCAATAGTGAAAATGAACTTGAGAAAGAAGAAGAGGCGTGGTAGATCGTGAAGAAAAAGTGTTCGCTGGAACTGGTTAAATACTAAATAAAAAACTGCTGGGAAGAAGAAGGTGCAGGATCTTTAGAGTTGAATTCATAGTCAATGTACCAAAAATACGCTATGTTTAAGATATAAATTGCCTAAAATGAGTCACGTATTTCATACACTTTATTAAAGAGTCAGATAAATTAATACTTATCTCGAGAATGAGCTCTGTTTCTGAAGTAGCGTGGGTTACATCTACAGTATTAGGTTAAAAGAGTACATGTAAAAAATGGATAAAACGTCT